TAATAGATTTGAGTGGTGACGATTTGAAAGACCAGTTCAAATGAAGGACAGACAGGGGTGCACCTGCACAGCTGAGTACGATAAGAGAGCTGCAGATTTGTAATTTAGCAGGATATGCTCTGGGCTCAGCCTTATGTGTACATATATTCCATTGAGCCCACCCGACGCCATTAGAAAACCTGATATTTCATCTACTACATATTTGAAGTTTCCGTCGAGAAAAACAAAACAATGCACTCCGGGCAACTCATTCGCCAAGACATCCGAAGAGTACTTGCTGCCCGCGGAGGAAGTCAACCAAGTCATCTGAGCGCGGCTCCTTTCCGAGTGATATCCACTTCAGAGCAATACTCCCGTCTCCCACCATTTGGTTGAAGGCGTTCCGTGTCACCTGAAGTCTGTATTTTGGCGAAGAAGGCTGGTGCGGCTTGTGGTAGCCTGAAGTCACATCCCTGCCAACCCTTCGGCTGGCATTTATGGATATTATGAACTCTGGCTGTATTTTGGGACGGGAGGTCTGTCTTGTACCAACAGAGCCAGCGGCACATAAGTCACGCTTAACTTTAACCGTTAACGTGCGATGATGGGTCTTGAACGACGAGGGATTTTCCAGCAGACTGGAGCCACCATTATGGACAATGATGATAGCCAACGTTTCGGTGGGCTAACAACTCGTCGTGGTCATTGTCAATATCCTCATACGGACGACAGATACCTATGTGTTTTCTTGTGCATGATATTTCATGCGTTTGTATCTCGAATAAGAGATGTTTATCGCTAATTCGCTACAGTAGCCGGGATACTGTTGGACGATCCGAGCCAAGTATCAGTAGTTAATAGCCCTGGTCAGTGGTCATTGACAGGCGCGAGTCATCGTAGCTTTCCTTGCAAGCCTCAGTTGCTATGGCTTGAGGCGGCGTCGTTCTCTGTGCTCGTCACAACGCAACAAATGTAACAACAGCACCATTCTTTTCTAGTGATGTCATGGTAATAAGAATAACCGTCCATTCTTACCTACTTATTTAAACTGATGCAGCTCAAGAATTAGAGCAGCGAGCGACCTGAATTGGATGAGCTTGTAAGTTATTGGTCTGAGTGAGCTAGCTGGCCGTTGTGCATGTGCAAGTGAGGCAATGCTGATTTAACTTTAGAAACGTCCTCAATTTGTTTTAATGGTTTTAACGAGTGTTCAGTACCTATTGCTTATATGTGGAAGAGCATTTACAATGCCGAATGTTATGTTTAACAATAAGGATAGTACCTATCCAGGTGACCTGTAAAATGTCATTGTGTTTAACTCAGCATCTTTTTTTGTGAATAAGTACATAAATAAGATACAAATATACACCACAAGACATATCTGTCATTCCTTCGTTTCTTCTTCCATGGCGGAGTGAGCCTTGACGGTTGTGCCTGGACTCGTGAAAGTAATAAGATAAGTCAATAAAATAAAATAAAATGATAGGCCTACGAAACGTTATGGTGAAAGGCTGATGAAACTTGCGCCATGCAAAGCCACTCCCTAGTCCCTAGTGACCCTTCGGAAGCGAAAATGCGCGATAACTCGCTGTTTTCTGACGGGAAACCCCCGCCCCTCATGAATAAATTGGCGAGCCATATTTTGAATATCATTTGGCTTGGCTTTGTTGAAATGTTTTAATTAAGCACTCAGCAGTATGTGTATTATATGCCATTAAAATGCATTTATAAACATATGGAAATTACCTACCCGAGTCATTTGGTAAATATAACTATTCGGGATCATTTACAAAATGTCACTGTATGCCATTGACGGCTCCGCATGCTTGTTGTGATCAGGCACTGTCAAGTAGTTATGTAACAATCATTTGGTCTTTACGGTAAGGTCTTCCCTAGTTTCCTTGTTCATCTACATCGGCCTATAACACCGACTACTTCGCAGTTCTTCACAGCTCCAACTGCGCCTCATGACCAAGGGTCGCGCAGATCTTCTGAGTTGTGCAGGTGAACAGCATAGGTAAACTCATTAATAATTCAGCGGATCGAGACTCGAGAGCTCTCCCGGCCCCTCCGTCCGGTAAAGTCCGAGCTGACCTCCAGAGCTGTTGGCTGGGAGCCAGCCGACAGTCTCGGGAGCTGCACAGAGCTCTATTGAGTTGGACTGGTTTTGGCCGGTCATTGGAATCAGTAACAACGTAAGCAATCCCTAAAGTTTGTCCATAGATGAACGTCAAACTCGTCTGGAGTGGAAGTAGGCCTACTCGTAGTTGTGCTGAAACGGACCCCCACGGTTATCGATGTGTTCCAGCACGGTACTAACGCCCTGCCTCGCTGAGACAGACATTCAACTTAGATTTGCGTTCTATCTTTCCTGTTTTACATCTGTGATTCGTGTGACCCTGTTTTTTTTTTTTAACTGTGTTGCAACTAGGAGCGAATCAGTCAATCACTATGTTTAAAACTTTAGCATCTGTGGGATGGCAATTGGCAATGCTCAACAATGAGCATTTGCAGCGTCACCAGTGGCAGGTTTGAATACCAAGGTTTCTCTAGAACTAGAATAGAGGTCGCGGCAGTCGCAAAACAGCAGCGGGTTCACAGCCTGATGCCGTGGTCGGCGGTCGGAGGCCGATCACGTGATGGGCCTTGGGGGCGTGGCACAAGGCGTGCCTCGGCTTTTTTTCGAGAAAGTATGGACACTCTATCCATTTCCCTGCATTTTCCCACCATTTCTCATCTCTACTATCTCTCCTATCTCTCTAATCTTGTTACACACCAACCCATCCCCCCATTACCAACCTCGCCCATGCTGCAGCGCACAGCTCGTGGCTCGTGGCTCAGGCTCTTCATCGGTAGCGGCTGCTCCGATCGGCATTCTGGGTCCGCATCTCTGGCTGGTGGCTGGTGCTGCGCGGCAGAGCGGTCCTATCGCGTGCCTCCGGGCCCCCTGCTGTCCCGACTGCGCTAAGGCGCTAACTCTGCGCGAACAGCGAGAAACGGTAAATACAGAGGCGCTTTGACAGCTAGGCTATTCCGGGAGCTAAAAATAGCAATCCTGCGAATGGTGCGCTGCCTCTCGGGGGCCTGCGATAAACTCGAGGGAGTTGGGACGACTAATGCCATCCCTGATTGACTTCAATGTAGGTATGCGGTTCGTTTATCAGATACTCGTCCGGTGCCAATTTGTGTTGAACTACATATAGTGAATGCCGCTTTGAATGCAGTTTGCTCTTCTAATGGAGCAATCGCCAAATCTGATTATAAAAAAATGAGTTGTAGTCGTGTCGAAAGGAAACTCAAGTCAAACGACAGCATCTAAAAGAAGATTCAAACACTACTATCTCTAGGCCATGCTTAGATTGGGTCAATATTGAAGTCACTGGGGTCATCAAAGGTTAGATTTTCCCGATGGTAACGTTTTGAACCAAGCGACGCATAACTCGAAAACTAACGGGCGTGCACTTAGTTTCTGGAAACATTTGTGATGCTATAACTTTGAAGTTTGAACTTCGTTTAAGGTGAAATATCGTGTGATGGTTTGAGTGTCACTGGGCCGGCGGGATTGTAGGCCCCTGACCGCGGTCTATGACCCGGGGCGCTGGGTCAGCTGAGTGGCGGTGTGAGCGTGCCGACCGCCGGGCCGGAGCGGCGGCCGGCAGTCTGGAGTTGGAGCGGTGCCAATAAAGGTCCGTGCTGAGCCTGGATGTTACAATTGGCGACGAGGTGAATATCGTGCTATGGAAGATGGCTGAAGGCTTCAGTTTAGCCCCATTTGATTTACGCGAAGATGTGTGGGAAGAGTGGTTCGAGAGATTTGAGTTTTACTTGGATGCAAGAAATGTGACTGACAGTGGCAAGAAGAAGTCCTACCTGCTTTCACAATGCGGTAAGGATACCTATTCTGTGTTACGGAGTTTGGTGTCGCCAGGCAAAGTCGGTGACAAATCGTACACAGAAATTGTGACTTTGCTCAATGGTCACTTGAAACCTCGAACGTCTGTGACTGTGGCTCGATTCAAATTTAACACGTGCTGTAGAAAGGAGGGCCAGTCAGTAGCAGAGTATGTTGCTGAGCTGAGGAAGCTGACTGAGCACTGTTCTTTTGGAGAGACCCTGAATGAGATGTTGAGAGATCGTTTGGTATGTGGAGTGAATGATGCTCAGATGCAAAGGAAGTTGTTGTCGGAAGAGACACTGACATTTTCTCAGGCTAACCGGATTTGTCTGTCACTAGAAGCGGCTTCCAGGGACGCCAGGATCATCGGAGGACAGGAGAGCACCGTCAACGAGATCTCTGTGCCGGGTCGGGACGTGACGCCGGGTGGGATCAATGAAGTGCACGCCGGCCAACGCAGTCGCGGTAAGCCATGCCACCGCTGTGGCCGTTCTCATCCGGCCCAAACATGTCGCTACGCCAGCTTCAAATGTTTCAATTGTGGAAAAATTGGACATTTAGCACGCCGTTGTGTAGTCCCCAGAGGGAGCGGAGAACAGTCTCAAACCCGACGAGGGGGCTCCCAGACAACCAGGCCAGTAGGCGGAACTATGGTCATGAGTACCCAAATATAGGAACGTTCCCATTTTTGGGAACGGAGTTCCCAAATATGGGAACGGGCGTTCCCATTTATGAGAACGGAAGGCAATTTTTCGGCCGTTCGCCCACTAAAACTCAAAAGTGCATCACGTCTCAAAAAAGTGCACGCTGATTTAAGTATCTACTAAATCTCCATAAAGTTATCTTTAATCTGACCGTGGAACAAGGAAATTGACCGTGGAATGATATTTTTAATGATTTTTTTAAAATGACAGAATGGTGGAAATATGGGTTATACGACATTTAACATGCAATTTTAAGGAAAATGAAGCATTTTTTACATTTTGAGGTCAAGTATAATAATTTTCGCCTGGTTATGAAGTTTCATTCTAGCGACACCAGATGCTGACATATGCAAGCGAACACGCGGACAGTCCCGAGGTAATATTGTTGACTTTTGGTGTCGGGGCGATCGACCGCGTAGAACGTCAGTGATTTTACCGAACTACTGTTGTAAACTCAGTTTCAGTGGTTTAAAATCATTCAGCTGTATTTTATCAGTCCCTAAAGACATATTTTATTTGGATGCTAGCTGTTTAGCGTTGTTTTATAAGCAGCGTCATGAGCGTGGTTTTTGTCTTCGGCGTTTCTAAGCATGATCGTTTGGGGGGATTTTCTCTGATATAGGTCGCTCTGTGTGGCTTATTTATAATTTTTATGCTGATTTCGATCATTCCTCGTGCCCATCCTACCAGGCCTTTTGCCACTTACACTCATTAAGAAAGGAAAAAACTAGATTTTCATTGGGACTAGGTGTTTTGAGGGTGTAACATATTCAGCGTTCCCATTTTTGGATACTTCTTGTGCTCGTCAACTCTCGGTGATTAGCAGACAGGTGCTTGACATGTCTCCACCCTCGGCGCGGACGGTGGATATAGGTATGGAAGACCTTGTTGAACATCGCTGAGCGTTGTGGATTACGTAATCCTGCAGAGGGGGGCGTGCCCGCTGCGAGATCGACGGGAATAAAAGCGCAGAAGACCGGGCGAAACATGCAACGGTCTTGCCGGAAAGGTCATCTGATGATTGTTGCGTTAACAATAATTTGCGGCGTTGGACGTGATGCTTGTTAATGAAAAGAGCCCCTGAAAGGCGTCGGTGAAATCGTTCCCAATTTTGGGTACGCCGTTCCCATAATAAGGAACGCTTGCAGCGCCAGTGTACGAGAGCGTTCCCAAATTTGGGCTCGCGGCCCGGGTGATGGACTGCTTTAGAAATAGGGGAACGATTTGAAACTACGATGGGCCTTACAATATCAAACTCTTTCCCAACAATATTGAGACAACTATCAGGCGGTTCACGATCGTTTTATATTTTTTGGACGTCATTTAACGGTTCTTTTTCTTGTTTTAAATAATGCCTACATGGCGTTCCCATATTTGGGTTTATCGTTCCCAAACATGGGAACGAAAATGCGTTCCCGAAAATGGGTACGCTTGACCATAGTTCCGCCTACTGAGGCTGGTGGAAAGGGACCCACCCATTTCTGACGAGTCTGATTCTGACTCAGATAGGATTCATACCGTAGTCAACGCCGTTCAAAATGCGTCTCAGCCGGTCATTGTTGATGTTGATGTCGAGGGCACAGTCATACAAATGGAGGTTGACACGGGCTCGGCTGTCTCGCTTTTGAATGTGAAGACGTTTCAGGAGATACATCCGACTCCTGAGTTGAAGAAGCCAAAGTCTGTCCTCAGAACCTACACTGGAGCCAAGATTCCGGTCGTGGGTGAATTCATCGCGGACGTGAAGTACAACAACCAGGCGAGATGGCTTCCACTGGTGGTGGTCGGAGGAGATGGACCAAACCTCCTCGGGCGCGACTGGCTTGGGAACCTGAAGCTGGACTGGTTCAACATCTTCTCGGTGAGTGGAAGTGATGCTGTCACGGCTCTGAAAGAGAAATACGCTGAAGTGTTCAGGCCAGGCCTGGGTGAGCTCAAGGGGGTGAAAGTTAAACTAGACATTGACAGTAGTGTGGCTCCCAAGTTTTACAAACCGAGGCCGCTACCTTTTGCATTGAAGAAAAGGGTCGATGAGCAGCTAAAGCGAGAGATTGACATGGGTGTGCTTGAACCAGTTGGACATGCAGCTTGGGGTGCTCCGATTGTACCGGTGTTAAAGTCAGACGGCAGTGTCAGAATCTGTGGGAATTTCAAGCTGACAGCAAATCGTGCCATTCGTGTTGACAAATACCCACTTCCAAGGATAGAAGATCTCTTTGCCTCACTGGCGGGAGGCAAAGTCTTCACCAAACTCGATCTGAGCCAGGCCTACCAGCAGTGCGTGGTGGATGAAGACTGCAGAGATATCCTGACGATTAACACTCACCTTGGACCTCTCAGGTATCGACGCCTGGGCTTCGGTGTCAACTCGGCGGTGGCGTTGTTTCAGCGAGAGATGGAGAAGTTGTTGAATGGTATGCCTGGTGTCTGTGTTTTCCTAGATGATGTGCTCATAACTGGGAAATCCCAGAACGACTGCTTACAGCGCACATCTGCGGTGTTGGAGAAGCTGCAAGATGCCGGACTCCGTGTGTCGGAGAAGAAGTGCAAATTCTGCGTGGACAGCGTGGAGTACCTGGGACACAGGATCGACGCTGAGGGCTGTCACCCCACAGAGGCGAAGGTGAGAGCCATCCACTCTGCGCCAAGTCCCAAAAACGTGTCAGAGCTGAAAAGTTTCCTGGGCATTCTGAATTATTATGCTCGTTTTCTACCAAACCGATCTGAGGTACTGTCACCATTGCATGAGCTTTTGAAAAAGGATGTTTTGTGGGCCTGGGGACCAAAGCAGCAGAGTGCTTTCAATGAGGCAAAAACGTTGATAACGTCGGAACGAGTGCTGGCGCATTTTGATCCAACCGTTCCTCTTGTGCTCACTTGTGACGCATCCTCTGTTGGCATTGGCTCAGTGCTCTCACACAGATACAGAGATGGGTCCGAGAAGCCAGTGGGGTTTGTTTCACGATCGCTATCCAAAGCTGAGCAGAAAATGAGCCAAATTGAGAGGGAGGCGTTGGCCTTGGTGTTTGGCGTCACGAAGTTTCACCAGTATTTGTTGGAAATGACAAATTCATTTTGGTGACTGACCACAAGCCACTGGTCAAACTGTTCGGTGAGCATGAAGGGATTCCGGCGACAGCATCCGCAAGGATTTCGAGATGGGCGCTACGGTTATCCGCGTACAATTACACGATTCAGTACAGATCAACGACGCAGATAGGACATGCCGATGGTCTCAGCAGATTACCGCTTCCCGTCTCGAAGGAGCGTGACCATGAGGTGTCTGAGATGGTGTGTTTGTTGCAGAGCTTGGAGGAGGAGTTTGCATTGGACTCCTCCCGGATTGCTGCGCTGACGTCTCGGGACACTCTGCTGAGTCGGGTGCGGCAGGCCATAGAGACTGGTGAGTGGCCTGACGAGGAGGACATCCGCTCATTCTTCCACAGGAGAGATGAGCTGTCGGTGATCCGCGGAGTGCTGCTGTGGGGCAGCCGAGTGGTCGTGCCTGCCAAGGCACAGAAGCACGTTTTACACGAGCTACATGAAGGACACCCTGGGGTGAGTCGGATGAAAGCTGTGGCGAGAACATGTGTGTGGTGGACTCATATAGATGGAGACATCGAGCGATTCGTGCGCTCTTGCGATGGGTGCCAACAAACCAGGCCCCATCCTGTAAGAAACGAGCTACATCAGTGGAATTGGCCGAGAAAAATTTGGTCGCGAATTCATGTCGATTACGGCGGGCCTGTGAATGGGAAGTATGTACTGGTGGTCGTTGATGCAACATCGAAATGGGTGGAGGTTGTGTTGACGACTTCTACGTCCAGCGCTGTTACCGTGGATGCTCTTCGTTTGCTGTGCTGCAGGTTCGGCCTCCCGGACACCATCGTCTCGGACAACGGTCCGGCCTTCATCGGGGAGGAGTTCCAGCGGTTCACGAGGAGGAACGGCATCCGTCATGTGAGGACGGCTCCTCACAGGCCGGCAAGTAACGGGTTGGCGGAAAGGTACGTCAAGGAAGTAAAGTATGCGCTTCAAAGATCTACTTCCGGAACCATGTCCGTCAAACTTGCTAAATGGCTGATCAGCTGCCATTCAACACCCAATGCAACAACGGGGGTAACGCCTGCTTAAATGATGTTCGGTCGAGAGTTAAAGACGAGACTGCAACTTCTCAAACCGGACTTGGAACGGACTGTAGAGCAGCAGAAGGATAGACAGAAAGAGTACTATGATATGCGTACTAAAGGCCGTCAATTTCAGGTGTCCGACAGAGTCTACGCCAGAGGTTTCGGGAGCGGACCGGTTTGGTCGCCCGGAGTGGTCGTCTCTCTCCTCGGTGCAACGATGGCGGAGGTCCGGCTGGACGATGGTCGACTGTGGCGCCGTCACTTCGATCAGCTGCGGTCTGCGGGCGACTCTGCTCCGAAGAATCGCACGGAGACGGACGTCTGCGACTTCGGACGGCTGCGGGAGAGGCGGGACCTGGCGGGTGGCGAGCCGGACGAGGGTTGGCTGGAGGACGATCAGCAGGAGGATCCCGTGGTGATCTCGGACCGGAGACCGGCGGCTGACGCCGGCCAGCCTGAGCAGAGCTCGGAGAGTCCCGGAGTACAGTCGTCTCCGGCTGCTCGTCCCCCCTCTGGTGCGTGCGTGTGTGCGGGTGATCAGACTTCGAGTGCGCGCGCGTGTACAGGTGATCAGAGTCAGACTTTGAGCGAAGGGACTGCCACGGGCGTGACTCGGGATTCTTTGGTGTCCCGAGGGCTGTCGGGCTCACTAGAGAGAGCGGAAGGTGTTCCGTCGGTCACACTGCGTCGATCACAGCGGGAACGACGCAAGCCGGACTACTACAGACCCGGTGCTGGGTAGATATGTGTTAATGAACACTTGAGACTTCTGTGTAGCTGTTGTGTTCTTTTCGTTTCTGAGCCAGGAATGGCGTTTGTTGTTTGTTTGTTGTTGTTTTTTTTGGAGGGAGGTAATGTGATGGTTTGAGTGTCACTGGGCCGGCGGGATTGTAGGCCCCTGACCGCGGTCTATGACCCGGGGCGCTGGGTCAGCTGAGTGGCGGTGTGAGCGTGCCGACCGCCGGGCCGGAGCGGCGGCCGGCAGTCTGGAGTTGGAGCGGTGCCAATAAAGGTCCGTGCTGAGCCTGGATGTTACATATCGCACATACATAAATTGCAACAATACGAGTATATTGTATATTGTTGTTATATATTGTTGTATATCTCGTATATTGTTGTTATGTCAGCGAGAGCAACATTTAACACAACAGGAGCATCTGCAGCTCTGTAGCTTCTTTTATGAAAAGGTTTTAACACATTAGCTCATGTCTTCGTAAAACTTCATTTGACTTTGCAAGTGACCGCTAGCCATCCGCTGCAATCTACCTACATATTCAGTATCCATTGCATTAGGGCAGAGAGGAAATGATTCAGAAAATACGTACAAGTCGTCTTTGGTGACAACAGGACACCTTTCCAACAACAGGACGCCTTTCCACTTCTCTCCATTACGTTATTGTTTTATTATGTCGATGTCCTGAATCTCACCCCACCCTTGAGGTGACACATAAAGAAATCGAAAAAATAAATCGGTGGAGCTTCAAAAGAGCGCACTTCCTCACCTGCATTTAAGTCAAACCTTCTAGGAAATAAGATGTAGGATCCAAGGTAGGATCGACACGATCGCAAACTTTTCAGGGATGAGCCTGATTTGCTGCATGGGGAGAGAGGGCTTAATGTCTACACGGGATGCCAAGCTGAGGCGCTTAACTTTTATCAAGTTAAGCGGCACCAAGCGGCACGTGCCCCGGTTTTTCCTACACATGCGTAAGGTTGAAAAAGCAGCCAGATATGCCCCCCCCACCCCACCTGTCCAACACAGTGCTTTTGCATTGAAAAGCCAAAATGGTACTATGGTCTAAAACTAGTTCAGATAAGTTACTTACTGAATCGAGTTGACAGTGCAAAAAATACCATTTCTGACCACTGTGTATTGTGTAATCTGCCTGGACTTAGTTGAATGTCACACATGTTTGTGGGGTGTCTGCTCATACAGCACATTCTGCAACTTCACCTGACATCTCCCTGATAAATTTTTCGTCTTCCCATCTATTACCAAAGATAATCCCTCCTGTATTCTGTTTTCCACCCCTGTACTCGGTTTATCAGGGTCGTCGGTAGCCGAGCAGCCCTCATTTCTCTCCGCCGCGGGGCGGTCACCTGTGCCTCGGGCTGCGCGCGCCGGGCCTGGCAGACTCCCAAAATACCTCGACTGCCGGCCCTACCGTCCGCCACCGGCGCTACCACGGTGTCCGCCATCAGCACGGCTGCCAGTCGGGTGGATGGTGAACCGGGGGCCAACTCCACGTGTAGAGAGAGAGGAGAGAGTGGTGTTTCGGCAGCTTCGACAGCTGCAGCTTCCCAGCAGCTGCAAGTGCATCTAAGGCAGCTGTGGTCCCTCGGTAGACTGGCGCTGGAGAGCTGGGTTGACGGTCTGGCTTTGGCGGATCTCGAGTGTTGCTCAGGAGGTTTCATCCATCAAGGAAGTGTGGAACTGGGGGAAAGAAGAGTCAGTGTCAGTGTGATTGGACCCTGTGTGAGAGGAGCTAACGTGACTGAGAATTCCAAGGACCGGGGTGAGAGCGAGCTGAGCAACTGAGCTACTTTCGGACTGAGCTCACAGCTTCTAGTTTCTCTCAAACTAGTGAAGCTCACCGTGCGAACCACGGACTTCCTCTCAGTGAGAACTCTCGTCCCACCTGGGAAGCTCTCTCGGAGCTAAAAATCACCATCTTGCTGTAGCAACACCTCCGACACTTCCTCCGAATGGTGTTAGCGCAGTGACCAGGCCCGGACGGCAGGGGGCCGGCACCGGAGGCGCGCGATAGGGCCGCTCTGCCGCGCAGCACCAGACAGAGATGCGGACGAAGAATGCCGATCGGAGCAGCCGCTACCGATGAAGAGACCGATCCCCGAACGCCCAACACGGTACACTGCAAACACTGTCAAGGTAAGTTGCGAGGGAAGACAGGGGGCTGGGATAGCACTGGTGGATCCAGAAAGGGTGTAGTCTGGGACGCTGTTGGAAATACCCTCAAGAAAGCTCTCTAAATTCAAAAAGCCCCTCTGATTTTGCTTCTATTTGAATGTAAAGCAAACTTTTCTGATGAAATTGTTTTAATTTTCTTTCTTGTCTAGGAGAAGGGTCATGGGCTTCGGAACCTCACGAAAAATGTGTAGGAGGGGGGGGGGGGGGGAGCGAAACTTCATTGTCACCTTGTTGGAGCCCCAATACCCCAATGAAGGAATTCGTTGCAGTTTTGTGCTCATCTCACCTTATTGAACCATTTCGGATTGCCTGCTCTTAGTTTTCTATTTAAATAAAAATAAAGATGTTACTTTAAAAATGGCTGAAAAGTATGGGGCGGCCCGGCCCCCTCGTCTATCAGAAGGATCAAATTTAATTGTTTTCAGTGCTGCCACTGGGGTCCGCTACAGTGGAGAGACGGAGGAGATTGTGGAAGAAGATCGCCGATGTTCTCGGACTGGAGATTGATTGCCGAAAGATGGTGGTTTCTGGAACTTGGCCAGTGAAACTTTGCATACTTTGATGATGGATGATGTATCTACGGACAAGTTCATTTGAAAATCCAGTACCCTTCGGATGGTTCTCACGATTTGGTGCTAAAATCGTAGACGTATTAGGACATAACGCAATGCCCGGAAGTGTCCAAACAGTGCTACGACTTCGAGCAATTGCAACGACCCTTCTAACAAGCAGAAACTGCTATTGCAGTCTTAGAATTTCATTTATAATTGCTAAGAGCAGAAAGAGGAATGTCTGCTTTAAGATATGATTTTTCTAGCAACTTACTTTATGACACCAAGATAATAAGTTGGCATTTGCGTTCCTTCTTTTGCAACTCTTGGCCACTAAGGATCATTGAATGGTATTCTAAAAAACGAAAACGAAAAACAGCATGAACTTCCGAGAAAAAAAACTGTGCTGCGCCTGTCGCACGTTCCGGTCCGGGTATGACGTCACCACCAGCCCCTGCGCCGCAGGGGGAGGTCACAAACAGACGGTTCGCTTATTGGAGCGTATGACGTGACGTAACGGATGATGTGGCCTTCCGGCAGCTGAGTGCAGGGTTTTTGACAAACGGAAGGAGCGCTTTTGGAAGTGAGTGGGTGAAAGATGGTTATTGTTTTGCTTCAGGTATGGATGATTGCAGCAGTTCCACGATTTATTAGGCTGTGGAAAGCTACATTTGACAAATACCTACCGATAGGCACTTGTAACAGCATAGCATATGTGATGCATAAATCACCCCTCCTTTGCTATACTTTTTATTTGTCTAATATTGTGATTCTTAACGTGAAAGTAGACAACAAAAACAAAAAATATCCGATCATTTAAAACATTTCACAACGCTAAACAACGCTCAAAGCCTCAGACAGCTCCAAAATCGTTGAAAGTTTACCAAAACTATCCTAGCTTAGCTACTAAAATAATCTCCCTTTTTTTGGCGGGTCGGTCGTTTTGATTTGCCAGGTGAATAGCCGCAGGACATAATTTTAAGCAAATGTGTCAGGGCACCGTTTCCGCACGATTATGACACATCTCTCATGACACAGCTCGCCAACACCTCAGTGCGTCAGGCGGCGGGGGGGGGGGGCGGTGACTGCGGGGGTGACACTGTGTGTCAGAAGAGGGGGTGACGTGGGGGGGGGATGGGGCTGACGTGTCCCGGCGTGGGCTGAGTCCTGTGCCAGACAGGGTCAGATCCCAGACAGCCGAGTGGGTCGTCCGCCAGATGCCGTTGTAGGAACGGGGTCAGGCGGAGTCCTCTGAATGTCTGTTCGGACCGCTCTGCTGCTGGGTATCGACGGGTGCGGGTAGAGAAGGGACGGAAGGAGAGAGAGAGAGAGAGAGAGAGAGAGAGAGAGAGAGAGAGAGAGAGAGAGAGAGAGAGAGAGAGAGAGAGAGAGAGAGAGAGACAGAGAGAGAGACAGAGAGAGAGACAGAGAGAGAGAGAGAGAGAGAGAGACAGAGAGAGATGAGCGAGAGGCAGATGAGAGAAAAGCGAGGGACAAAGCGAGAAGAGATGCGTCAAACCAAACCATAAATCTGCTATTATCTCCGCTTGGTGAAGCTCCTACCCCTCTAAAAGCTGGTTCAAGTCGGCCGGTGTGCACTGTCCACTCAATTCCAGTGAACATGAAGCAACCGTGCTCGGTAGCTTGCCAGCCAATGATTGGTGGCCTCATGTGACCTTGGCCCGAAGCTAGGTCTCCCGCCGCTTGATGGCGGCGCGGTCGGTGATGGCGGGTGTCTGTCCCAGCTCTATAATGATGTGTACCGTGATAGTGAAGCGCGGATGTGACTGGTCTTTTCTGAGACTGATTGAGCTATGGCAACCCATCCCATGCTAGAATCCCGTTTTCAAAAGTAAAAAGTGAAAAAACGATGTCAAAATGTGCATCAAGTACAAGTCAATGACAAAATTTTATAAATTTTTGCGCAATAAAAGGAGGCCTGTTGTGAAATAAAAAAAGAAAACAGGTGAAATAGGTGAAATAAAATAGGTGAAATAAAAAAAAAACAGCAAACGGAAGTTGGTGGTGGAGGGTGAAACGGGATGGGCGGAAGAGATGAAAGATGAAAGAAAGAGCGGGACTGCGGAGCGGGCACTGGAGAGAGCAGAGAGGCGGCGCGGGACGGCCGCGGCGGCTCCTCTGAACGGCTCGCAGCTGTCAGTTGCGGATCGCTCTGCTGCGCGGCCGCCGCGCGTCTCGATTGCGTCTGCT